GTAATGAAGTTTTTTTTCCAAACCTCCTCCCTCCCCCCTCCCCCCCTCCCCTTCTGGGACTGCCCAGTGGACGCCTATCCTGGACCGTGTTTTTAATCTTCAAGCATTCTCATTGGTCTTTGTGTACGCGTCAAGCATTTTTTCGCTACACGTTATCGCTATGATGAGACTCGTGAGAGTGTTTTAGACTTGTCATATACAACAACTGGGACTGCCCAGGACCTTGGCCGGGACTTTGCCCGGACCCTTACCCGGCCACCTTCCGTTTTTTTGTAATTTCCTCATTTTAGACGCCCTTGCCCAGTCCCCCAGACGTGCCTCCAACGTCTGACGTCCAGACACTGGGCACCATTGGGGTGTCAGCTCAGTAGCGATGATTTTTTTAGAAATGACAGAGGGGTGTAGAAGGGGGAGGGAGGGAACTGTCGCTCCTTGTTTATTCAAATTTCAAACCCATCCTCCTCCCTCCCTTTTTTGCTTCCCAAATTCTGCCCACAGTTGTGTTGCGGGCCCTGATGAGCTTATCCGTTCGATTCAAACTCGAAATTCAAAATTGAAATCCATTTCGTGTGCATGTGAATTATGCATGATGAGCACACCGTCTCCTTATCTGTGGGGGGGGGTGGGGGGTGGGGGGCAATCCTTCGCCGTAGCCAACTTATCTTCTTAGTGTCTGCCATCATCCTACTGGTTCGCCGCCCACCATATGTCGGTTTTGTCCGCATAGCCAGGGGACCCTTTGTCGACTTGATTCCCCTAAGTATACACCATGGTAGGGGTTTGTTGCCAGAGCTGGGGGCTCTCTGCTCTCTGCACTCTGCTCTCTGCTCTCTGCACTCTGCTCTCTGCTCTCTGGCTCCTTACTCTCTGCTCTGTGCTCTTTACTCTCTGCTGTCTGCTGTCTGCTCCTGGCTGAACACGGCTTGTGTGGGACATTCCTCGTTGATCGAGGAAATGGAGGACCAGATGCAGTGCATCTTTGCCTTTTGGACAACGCACGCGCCACGCTTTGCCAGTTGAATGAGGATGGAAAAATGCAGACGAGTCCATCGGCAAAGAGCATGTCGATTTTTCAGCATCAGACGCGACGGGGCCTTTCCCTTGTGGAGCTAACCTATCCTGTTGAGTCGCGCTACCGACCAGATGCAGTGCATCTTTGCCTTTTGGACAACGCACGTGGCACGCTTTGCCGATTGAACAAGGATGGGAAAATGCAGATATGTCCATCGGCAAAGAGCATGTGGATTTTTCTGCGCCAGACGCAGTCAGAGTCCTTTTTCACACGAATAGAATGAACAGTCATTACGGCTGTATCTGGACTGAAAATTGGAACCAAAAGTATCTGCAATGACTCTGCGTTCTATTTGGGTGAAGACGGTAGGAGTACTACTGTCCTCACCCGTATAGAACACCCGGTTATTATAGCTGTATTTGGCACAACTTTCCGTCCAGGTGCAGCGATAATGACCGGGCATTATATATTTGGGTGAAGATGGTAGGAGAGGGTTGGTTTGGAAGGGCTCAAGTATAACTCTCACTTTTCTTTTCTTTCTTTTTTTTTTTTTTCTTTTTTTTTTTTATCGACTCTCACTTTTCTTTTTCTGTAATGGAAGTTCTCAGCAAATGCCGGTTCTCAAAGAATGCCGTGTGAGTACTTTGCTCTTGTGCCGCGTTATTCCCAAGTAGAATTATGAGGGCATATACTCACAACACTAGGGCTTTCCTGGATGTATCTAACCATAATTACAGCTGGGCCTGGATGTATCTGACCACAACTGCATCCAAAACAAATGCCTGTTCTGAAAAAATGACGTGTGAGTACTTTGCTCCTGTGTGCCATATTATTCCAGGGTAGAATGATGAGGGCATATACTCACAACACTAGGACTTTTCTGGATGTATCTGACCTCGATTACAGCTGGACCTGGATGTATCTGACCACAACTGCATCCAGAGAGAGCAGTAGACAAAAAAAAAGAAAGTCCTACTCTGAGTACCTGCCGAAAAAAAAAAAAAGAAGCGCACAAGAAGATACACTATCCAGTTACTGATCCAAATACTTTATTAAAAAAAAAGAAAATCTCTTTTTTTTTTCTTTTTTTTTTTTTGCCAACTGATCCAAATACTTTATTAAAAAAAAAAGAAAATCTGTTTTCTTTTTTTTTTTTGGCCATGGGTGAGTGGTAGTCTGCTTTGATTTTCATCACAGGTACCGTTGAGGGCAGTGGTATTATGCACACCTCAGGGTATCACTTGTCGGGACGACGTGGATGCTGAAGCAGCTGAACTCTTAACCGGGGTTAAGGCAGATGACCATTTATGGTATTGCCGGTTAGGGACTCTCTCTGCACCGAGTCTGCAGACTGTACAGGCTTCAGCGTTTTAACAGAACAGTCGGTCATGGTCCCTCGTTTCTTGTTCTCGTCTCCCTCTCAGCCTGCCTGTGGTCCACCGGGCAGTTTTTTTTTTCCCACTGGGCAGTTCTCTATATACTATATTAGTATATTGTGTGTAGGATTGTATGTTGTAGTATCGAGTAGTTTAGACACAATTGTATTCTAGACTATAGACGTGTTATGTGAGTTGATGAAGCTATATGCTTTGCTGAGGGCATACGCATAATACTGGAGCTTTCCTTGAGGTATCTGGCCAGGCATTCTGGCAAGATTCAATTGGGAGCTGAGTCGCCGGACAGTCGTCTGACGCGAGGGAAGTGTGCGGTGGTGCGGTGCAGTTCTACGGATTCGCATGACATTGCTTTCCGTGGTGACGGCGTCGGGATTTGAACTCATATGAGCTTCTGTCTGAGGGGCGTGGCGCTGACGTCCATGGATTTTTGTTGTTGTTGTTGTTGTTCTTGTGATTTTATTTGTTAAAATATTTTGGTCAGCTCATTCTGATTAATTTGCCGGAGGACGTGAAGATTCACGACATTGAACGCTTGTTTGACGGCAACAGGATTGCTGCCCACGGTATAAAGCTCTTTACAATGTGAGTTATTTGACCCCCCCCCCCCGGCCCCTCCCTCCCTCTCTCTCTCTCTCTCTCTCTTAAATGCCCCTTTTCTCCCTTTCTTCTGCCTAAGTGTGGTTCCTGCTCTTCTCTGCCACACGTGTAAATAACTTGGAAAAATTTAGAAGAGGTCATGGTGAAAGGATTTCACTACTGCAGCCTTGGTCCCAGCCCGGGGTCCCGGACCTGGATCCCAGTTTTCTGTGCAAGGATGACCCGCATGAATCGAGAAATGGTATTTAAAAAAAAAAAAAAAAAAAAAGAAGTAAGGCTACAGTTGAAATAAAAAAAAACAGCATTATTAAATTTGTTGAAATTAAGAAATTGTTAGGAAACGTGCGTATAGTCGCCGTATACAAGTTTTCGAGATGAGCTGTCATCCTGCTGCTGGCTGTGGATTTTTGAACATTTTTCCAATGTTACTTGCAGAAAAAAAAGAAAGAAAAAAAAGAAAAGTTTTGGCATGGTTGGGGTTGTACTTTTTTCCAGGCAGGCCAAATGATGTTTCCCCAGTGGAGCCAATTTCCAATTGTCGTCAGTTTTTTTTTTATCGAATTGAAATTATTGAATACGTGGAGTTTGAATTGTCCCAAATTGACCTAGTTTTTTTTTTTTTTAATGTCGTTGTCATTTGTTTTCTTGCCGACAATAAATAAATATATAACATCGATACCTTCAATACACTGCATCGAGACAGTATGCATGAGATAGTGAAGACGCCCCCGAGATTGCGGCTGCAGGGCGAGAGGAGGCACGAGCTCCACAATATCATGGAAAAGAGGGCAGTGGTGAAATTCGAATCGGAATTGGAGGCGTTGAGAGCGCTGCGTGAGAAGCAGGGCGATTTTGTTTTCGACCGTGAGGTGCAGCTGAAGTTTCTGCGTTGATTCGGGCGAGCTGCTGCTGCATAGGAAACGGCGGCGATGATTCCGGCGTATTGTTTTTGTCTTATCTTTTTCTCTCTACGGGCGTAGCTGGAAGGTGAACTAGTTGGACGGATGACAGTGGTAGTAGTAGTCGTAGTCATAATCGTCGTCGTCGTTGTCGTGGTTGTCGTTGTAGCAGTGTTTGTGTGGAGTGGGTGGTGGTAGACCTTGAAGGGTGGGTGTCTGAGGGTCCCAGGTGGGCCTCTGAGGGTCCCATGGTGGGCCTCTGACGGTCCCAGGTGGGCCTCTGAGGGTCCCATGGTGGACCTCTGAGGGTCCCATGGTGGGCCTCTGAGGGTCCCATGGTGGGCCTCTGAGTATGGATCAACACAGGGGAAGACGGGAAAGAGGGAGAGGGAGAGGGAGATGGAAGGGAGAGGAAGGGCGAGATGGAGAGGGAGAGGGAGAAGTCGAGGAGGAGGAGGAGGGTGAAAGCACAGGTCAGGTATCTGACTAGAAGAGTAGGTTGCCAGGTCAAGTTCTTTGTATCTGGACCGGTTATAGCTTCTGAGGGCTTACTCGACCACTTCAGAATTCTGTGGGAGTGTCACACCTTTCCGAAGGGCGTGTCGTTCACACATGTTTCCATGTCAAGAGCACATTTTTTTAAATTGAAAAGTGAATGCATCGTTGGTCGGTCAGTCAGTAAACAATAGCTCTGCGTGCTCGAGGGGCGTTCGAGGTTTGCAGCCATTTTCTGAAATTGTGAGTCCCCTGATGATTTAAATTTTGCTACGGGAAATTTTATCAGCTCTTGCTGCTTCAAGGACGTGAGTTGCCAGTGCTTCCCATCTTCCTCCTCCTCCTCCTCCTCGTGCTGCTACTCCTTGGGCTCTTTGTCATTATCTTCTTCTGCTTCTGTGTCTGTGTCTGCTTCTGGTTCTGGTTCTTCCTCTTCTGCTTATGCTTTGTCTTCTTCTTCTGTAGTGAAAAGAGGAGGGTATCTTCTTCTTCTTCTTCTTCTTCTTCTTCTTCGTGACTCTTCTTCTTCTTCTTCTTCTTCTTCTTCGTGACTCTACTGAAGTCACTCCACCGCATAAAGTTACGAAAAATAAAAAAATAAATCATCTCACAGACTCACACCTCCTTAGCCCCCCCC